TATTGCTATTGCTATTGCTATTGCTATTGCTATCCTGCGACGATACCTCTATCACCATCAGTCAAATGCAAAAAGCCGCACTGCTTGGATCTGCATTTGGCATCATTATTATTATTATTATTGTTATTATTATTATTATTACAAATAATAATGGTAAATACATCTAATATTCCTTCCTCCTATAAAAACCCTGTGAAATGGATTGGGCTGAGAAAGAGTGATTGGCCTAGGGTCATCCAGCTGGCTTTCATGGTTAAAGCAGGATTTGAACTCTTAGTTCTCCCAGTTTCTAGCCTGATGCCTTCACCACTAGACCAAACTGGTTCTTTGGTGTAACAAATATGTATAACAAAACATCTTCATTAATAGAAATGTCTTTTAACCTGTTTTTGTGTGCTGTTAATGTAAAATGACTAATTTGAAAGGATTGTTGCTTTTAATAGAATAGTTATTGCAATGTTCATTGTAAAATATTTTTCTTTTTGCATATTGTAGGAGAAGAACCTATGCCATTTTAATTCACATTTTAATTGTATTTGAGAATCACCTTGAATCTCTTTTCAATAGAAATCATCAGAGCTCTTCAGCAGAAATTGAATGAGGCAGAGAAAACATTTCACATCAATAAATGTCAGTGGGATGATAAACAGCGAAGATTTATCAATGAGTTATCAGAAAAGGAGTTGCTTATTAGTACCTGTCATGCTGAATATGAAACCCTTTTGAAGGAAAGGATGAGATTGGATGATATTTTGAAGGTAAGCCTTTATTTAGTGGTGTCTTCAGGGAATTCATGATTGATGGTGATGGTTACTCTATGGCAGTATTTTTCAACTTTAACATTTGAAGATGGGTGATCTTCTGCTCCCAGAATTCCCCAGCCAGCCAGTTTGGCCTAGTGGTGAAGGCAAACACTCCATAGAGTATAGAGCTTCAATGATAACCATCATTATCAAGCATAGCTGGCTGGGAAATTCTGGGAGCTGAGGTTCACTCATCTTCAATTGATCAAAGTCGAGAAACATTGTCTATGGTATATGTCAACATAGGACGTACTGTATGTATAAAGGGTAGGGCTTAGACAGCATAGAACTTTAGGAGCTGAAGTCCACCCATCTTCAAGTGGCCAAGCTTCAGAAACACTTCTGTATGGTATGCATCGGCATATCTGTCCAAAAGGTCAGTGTGGTTGCAATTCTTCTGACCCACTTTATGGCTGTTGCTGTATTTAAGAGAAATTTTATGATTCAGAAGAACGTAAACACATAATAATAAGAATATTATTAATGTAGTATTTTCTGCTGTTTTTCCACAAAAAAAGTTGTTTAGGCTCAAAAAAAACACCACCTTGCAGTTTAAAAGATATGACACAATCTGAAGAGGGATTCAATGGGAAAAAGAAAAGAGAAAGTTTTGGCACTTGCTTCTGATTGCAATATTCTGGAACTGACTATCTGAAGGGATCTTTGCTTTTTGGCAAAGGGTTTACCTTTAAAATGAGTTGATGATTACATGTTTTCTAAAACACAGTGATAGAGAGAGATTAGCTTTTGTCTTGCTCTGCAGGATTTGGGGGGGGGGGAGGATTTTAAACTCAGGCTTGTTTCCCTGGCTAAATATAGTAAGTCTTATTTTTCAGGCACAGAGGTAAGCAAACTGCTAAAAACTAGATGATTAAGTGGAAGATTGATATTTTTTTTCTCCTTTGAAACGACAATGTTCCTTGAGGTGAAGGAAAAATGTGTTAATGGCCAGTGAAGAGTCTAGAGGAGTGGTTCTCAACCTTCACTATGGACCCCCATTAAATAATTTGTGTAGCCATGATCCCCAAGACGTAACTCAAGATTTAAATAATAATAATAATAATAATAATAATAATATTTCTTCAAGCCTTCATGAACCCCCAGGAGGTCCACAGGCCACTGGTCTAGAACATAGATAGCCAACCTTTTATTTTGCTTGGACCTCATTGAGTGAAGAGGAATTGTCTTGGGCCACATATAAAAGTTATAATATAGTTAATGTACATAACTTACATAATGTTAAACGTATACAATCTGGTCATCTTCTTTTAATGACCCCATAATCCCTTGCGGAGTCTGGGCAACTAGAATGGAGCCAAGTGTTTACTGGCTGGATGCCCTTTCTGTCACCAATGCAGAGTTATATTCAGCAGATATATTCTCATGGTGCCTAGAGAGAGAAATATCTAACTTTGCCGAGGATCAAACTCATAGCCTCCTGATGATGAGGCGAGAGCGCCACCTCTAGGCCACTGCACCACTCTTAAAAGTGTACAGTCTGGTGGGGTGGCATTATTAGCTGTCCAGGGACACATGTAACCAATGGGTCACAGGTTGGATTTGCGTAGTCTAGCGTGTGGTGTTCTTATAAATTGCATTCCTTGCTTCCTCCAAGACATTCAAGGTGAAGAATGTAACTTCCTACTCTCATCTAAGAGTATAGGTTGATGTTCTTTTGGGTAGGGATGTTCTTGTCCAGGGTAGCCAGATGTTTAAAGCAAATGTTTCATGAAAGAAAAAAATAGTGATTTGTAGCTGAATTCAGCAGGGTCAGTTGAGAAATTGAAAAGAGTGAGAGCTTTTCACACGTTAAAAATTAGCCTGATCCACAAAGCGGAGATGGACATGGTGTAACAATAGTTTTTGCTCTGCAGTTCCCATCAGCACCACCTGTTCTATCTACAGGAAAGGCTTGATGGGACTTGCAGTTCAATAATGTTTATAGTGACCAAAGTTACTGTCCCCATGGTAAATTATTTGCTTGAGGCAGAATTTCAAACCTGGTTCAAACAGAGTTTAGGATTTTGATTTGCAAGCAGAACGGTTGGAGCTGTGATTTGTTCAGATACAATGGCAGTTTTTCTTGCTTATTAAAGAACGATGTCTCGCTTTCCCTTCCGTGTAGCAAAAAAATATTATTTTTCTTTCAATCTAAGTAGTTTCAACGGCAGGTAGTCCTCAAGTTGCAACCACAATTGAGCTCAAAATTTATGTTGCTAAATGAGAAATTGGTTAAGTAAGTTTTGCCCCATTTTACAACTGTTCTTGCCACACTTGGTAAGTGAATGACTGCAGGTGTTAAATTAGTAACACGGTTGTTAAGTGAATCTGGCTTCCCCATTGACTTTGCTTGTCAGAAGGTCGCTAAAGGGGATCATGTGACTCTGGGACGTTGCAACCACCACAGATATGAGTCAGTTGTCAAGCGATCTGAATGTAAATCACTTGACCATGGGTATGTTGCAACGGTCATAAGTGTGAAAAATGGTGATAAGCCACTTTTTTCAGTGCCATTGTAACTTTGAACGGTCACTAAATGAACTGCTGTAACTGGAGGACAACTTGTACTGTATCTGAATAAAGGTAGAATCCATTCCGACTTAATTCACTGAGTGCACAGGAAACCTCATAAAACGGTTTCCTCCTCTCCCTGGTAAAATAATGAAATAATAATATGGATCTGTAACACCATGTTTGATAGCTTTAATTAATTCCTGTATGTATATATCTATATATCTATAGCTCTATGTAAAGCCTGCAGTATGTTATGATTAAGTTCATTTTAACCTGTGTCCTCACCAAGGAGACTTTGGAATGCCAGAAGGAACAGAAGGACATGATAGAGTCAGAGATCATGAAAGTGGCAGAAGAAGAATTTAGGTGTCAGGCAGAACATTGGAAATCAGAAAGAAAGGAACTCCAATTTTTGTTGCAGGTATCTTTTGTTTCGTTAGGCAATGCTGCTAAACTAGAAGTAGTCATATCTTTATTATAAGCCAAATATAGTATTGGATTAATTGTTAAAAATGCAGGTAGTCCTTGACTAATGTCCACAATTGAGTCCAAAATTTTTGTTGTTAAAATGAGACATTTGTTAAGTGGGTTTTGTCTCATTTTACAACCTTTCTTGCCACAGTTGTTAAGTGAATCATGGCAGCTGTTAAGTTAGTAACACAGTTACTAACAGTGAATCTGGCTTCCCCATTGACTTTGCTTGTCAGAAGGTTGCGAAAGCAGATCAGATGACCATGGGACATAAATATGAACCAGTTGTCAAGCATCCACACTTTAATCACATGACCATGGGAATGTTGCAACAGTTGTAAGTGTGAAAAACTGTCATAAGTTATTTTTTAAGGGGTGTTGTAACTTTGAACTGTTGTAAGTTGAGGACTACCTGTAATGGCAGTACTCTTATATTATTTCATGTTAGCCCTTTGCATATTGTAAGCTGATGTCTCTTCTTACAACACGATAGTCAATCTATAGTGGTAGACTGTTCCTTCTCCTTAATTTTAATATTTTCTTAAAGGTATCTGTTTATGCTATCTTTGGCCAGAATATCTCAGTCACAATAATTCATAGATACATATAAAACTAATAGCAGAAAATAGCCATTGAGTCTGTCCTTTGAGGTTTTTTTTGGCTTGGTTCCCCCCCCACTTTATTCATTTATCATTTTTAATTATTATTTATATATTTTATTAATGTTTATTTTTTATTTTTGTTGGATGATGGAAAATTGTTTATCCCAAACATGTTTAAACTTACTGATAATTGATCCATTATCTCTGCTGGAAGTTGGTTCCAAGCTTCCACTTCTTCTTTCTGTGAAGTAATACTTTCTAACAAGTAATACTTTCTAACATTACGTTTGAACTTCCCTGCTGACAGTGTGAGGTTATGCTCCCCCCACGTTCATTATTTTTGCTTAATATTGAAAGGGCACTAGTAGAGTCCAAGTTTCTAGACCAAATGATTATAGTACTGCATGCCTTAGATGGGTATGCCGTAAGAGTTAGTTAGACCATGGGCTGCAGCTAGTGCAAGGTAGTTAAGGAGGCAGCCTACTGCAAAAATATTTTTGCAGTTCAAAGGGTAGGATGCTGTACAACAAGATTCAACACTTTTACTAAAATATTAAAGTCTGCTTAGTCTGGATATCTGATTGGTCAACTTCTTAATGTACTGGCCTAGTAAAAGCAGGGATGTCCTCTTTCATGAGGCTGTATCTTTAGAAGTTTATAGTCTTCTAAGAGAAGGTACTCCTGACCCTGCTAATAGAAGTTTCTCCCTGTTCAGTTATGGTTGGCATCACAAATTGTACCAGCCGAAGATTTACTTGTGCACTCAGGTTGTTACATTTGGATTGCTAATATTTTTGTAAAGTAGTTTTAATCTAAAGTAAATTTATACTTTTATTATATAGAACATAGAATAACAGAATAAAATAACAGTCTTTGCTAACAGGTTGCAGAAATGGGTATCTGTTGCTGCTGAAATGTTGAATTACAGTTCAGCCATGGTAGTGTAGCCAAAATGAAGGACACAAGGATTTTTAATTCAATTATCTCTGAACAGCCACAAATTACTTACTGTTGGGTAATAAAGTGTCTGTTTGTGTGTATGTGAGTTCATAAATGCATATAAAATCAAATGGGGGGGGGGAGGCATTAATTTGATCTGATTATGGTGAGTGTCGATCCTTAGAAGTCACATAGATAGATTCTTCTATGCCAATCTGTCCTAAACCTGATTATTCAGGTTTACTATCTGTGTTTCCCCCAAAATAAGATAGGGTCTTGTTTTCATTGGACCCCCGAAATAAGCACTTGGCTTATTTATTTTTGAGGTGCAGGAGGCGGCGAGTGTGGTCACCTCATGGCTGTTGCTGTTTTGCAATATTTCTGGGGAGGTCTTATTTTTTGGGAGGTCTTATTTTAGCACATGAGCTCAAAAGCCCGATTGGGCTTATTATCCAGGGAGGTCTTATTTTCAGGGAAACAGGGTAACATTGCATCCACTGTAATTAAAACTGGCCATATTGCTGCCAGGCATCCTCTCATCTTTCCTTCGATCTTTCTTAGCATTATTTATATTTTTAGGTAAATCTGGTATTTGTTCATTGCTACTTCAACAGTTTGATTTTTAAACTTTCCCTTCTGTTATCTGTGAGCAATTATACTGCAACTTTGAAATGGAAGATCTAGTCCCTTAAATAAGTCAGTTGAACCAGATGCAAGCTATGGCTTGTAAATATTATTTTAGACGTATCTGTGAAAATAGAATAAAAATGATTGTCTGTAGCGAAGAGAAGTGCAATCATAAGCCCTTAGAAGAATTTTTAGCAGAGGGATATGTACCGATGGGCTTTTAGAAGATGTATATTGAATCTTTTGCCTATTTCCTAAAAGAAGATTGGATTTTCTGTAACAAATACAACAGCATCATCTTGTGGCTAACAATCCAACATTGCATGAGAAAGTTCTAAGCTTACTTATAACAGAGGAATCTTTATTTTAGTTATACACTATAGACCTATTTTAATTCCACTGGAGTTGTGAGGATTAAGTATTGAAATCAATATCCTTTCACATAGTGAGATTGGATGGTAAGAAATAACTACATTTTATACTTGCTGTGCTTTCAAATGCCATTCTAATGTAGCAGTATTACATTTCAGGGATCATGGCTTGCTTTAATAAGCTGAAATGTCAATACATCTTTTTTTGAACGCATGTAATCCCTTCCTCCCCCTCCACCTTTTTGCATAAGTAAAACACAGCTTCTTTCATCTGAACTGGAAAGCTATGATTTAATGGATTTGGAATGCGATGAACCTATTGTTTGCATTCATACATTGGTTTGTTAAAGCCATAAATCATAGTTTTCTGATTTGGATGAAATTGGCTTTCTCCTGCATGACGGGAATACCAATGTATCATTGATTTGGTTTATTATGCAGATATATGGTCAAATTGATGCACGCTATCCGGTCATATTGTGATTGATTCCTCTCTTCCACTTTTTAATGTATCTGTAAATTTAATTTAGCTGTTATTAGTTTAACTTAAATTTCCATTTTTAATCGCCATTTCAGAATATTTTTTTTAAAAAAATGTTTTTGTTACCTATATGACTGGTGTCAGTGTACTTTGCTTTGTAGGAGCTATTTATCACTCCCAGTTTAAATTTGGCTTTCATAATTGGCCCTCTCATTTACAATTTTGATGAGTGGACATTTTAAGTGGCAAAATCTGCACCAATTTTATTGCGTAAAATTCTCAAACCACCTCCCAGAACAAGCTCTGATGCCATTGAATTTGCAGATGTGCTTGCCTTTGACATTCAATGAAAACCTGGCATAGTCCTTGACTGATGGAAGTCCCATAAACCTTTTTGACTGAAATTAGCATTACGTTGCAACAAAACAGAACGTCATTTTACAAAAAAAAAAAAAAAAAAAAAGTTGCCTGCTGAACTATTTAAATGCAGTTAATGGCCTGTTATACAAACAAGTATTTGCTAGTCCATTAATACAACATGAAGACATCTCCTTCATGAGGTGAAGAGACTGTTTACTGTTTATTAGGATTTGTATGCCGCCCACTCGAGAGACTCAGGGCGGCTTACATATAAACTGACTGGGAATGATGGAATTAACATCATTCTAAAAGGTAAATGTAAATGTTCCCCTTGCACATATGTGCTAGTTGTTCCCGGCTCTAGGGGGCAGTGCTCATCCCCTTTTATAAGCCGAAGAGCCAGCACTGTCCAAAGACATCTCTGTGATCATGTTGCTGGCATGACTAAACGCCAAAGGGACATGGAATGCTGTTACCTTCCCACCAAAGGTGGCTCCTATTTTTCTACTTGCATTTTTATGTGCTTTTGAATGGCTATTTTGGCAGAAGCTGGGACAAGTAAGGGAAAATCACCCTGTTACGTGGCGCTAGGGATTAGAACCAGCTGAACTGCCGACCTTTCTGATCGATAAGCTCAGTGTCTTAGCCACTGAGCCACTGCCTCCCCCACATCATTCTCTATCCTACACTAAAAATTGTACATATGTATTTATAGCATTTGTACTTTGACAGATTCATGATGAGCTTCTGGCAATTTATTTCAGAAATCATCATTAGCAAACCAATATATACTAAAGCATCAAAGGTGAACTAATCAGTGCATTATTACTAATAAAATATAATGCCTGTAAATAATTAAATAAATGATATATTTTTCTAATAAAATCCCAAATGCTTGTTGGAAAAGCTCTGACTCTGTTTCCATAAGGCAGCGGTCAGGTCCTGAGTGACGAGCAAACAGAGGAAACAAGAAATAAGAACATATTGGGATGTCTGAAAAGATATTTATTGCTGACTACCCGATAACTTGGCGTTGCCTGGGTATTTATTAATAGGGGGGAAATGTCCGGACCAAACGTAATTTCTAAGATTGGATTTTCCCCCTTACCAGAAGGAGCCCGCTTGTGGAGTACTGTTAAGCTGTTACCATGGCAACTCCACTGTACTGTACAATAGAAGTCAGTATATCAGTACAGCACAACAGGCTGTATCTTAACAGAACACACAGTTCAATGGGTGCTAGGAGTGTCTTACCCCCACAGTATTTTTCTCTAGAGAGTAAGTCATCTGTGTACCAAATCTCGTTGAAATTGCTTGAGGCGTTACAGAGTTATGCTGGAATACATACATATATATACATACATACATACATACATACATACATACATACATACATACATACATACATACAGGATAATATAATAGAATTCTCCAACTCAACCTGTACTTAGCATAATCTAAGCATAAGTATTCAGAGTTTCTTTTTTATGCTATCCCCTCCAACTGGGCTCAGATGTGTCTTTTGCAACATTCTTGTTTCTTCCATTCTGCCCACATCTATTAGATGTTCCAGTCCACAAAAGTGAGGCTAGACAACAGTGGTGAGTTTGGACCGTTTCGGCTGAACCGGTAGTAGTTTGGCGGCCTGGGTCGCTGGAACTGGTAGCGACCCAGG